TGTCCTCGCTGTGTAACGGTCTTGTCTTAGGCGGTGGACGTACCTAGCTATCATCTCGACCAGGTGCAGACTTGTGCAAGCCAACACCTTCGTGGGCCGTTTCGCCCCAATTTTCGGTCACTTCAAGCTAACAAAAACCGGAGTGAATTTTCCGGTGGATCTCGAAGTCGTCCAGCCTCACCCTCGACGCAGCCCCCGAACGGGGTAGCAGCAGATCCCGGCTTAGCGCATAGAAGACGAGAATGCACCTTCCCCGAAATGAAGGAAGGTTGACTGCATAGCCCGATGTTATGGTGGTGTCCAGTTCACCCCCACCTGGCCTGTCTCATAGCGTACGTACTGCGCCGACTAACAGATAGGTCCCCGGTCTCACGGTCAACCCCATGCTACTCGCTTCCCCCTTTTTTTTTTTTTTTTTGGATTGAATGAATCCCCCCGTAAACGTGGGTAGGTTCATTCCTTATCTGGCCTACTACCCCCCTCCTCCTCGGCGCAAACTATATACACCATGTCACAAAATCCTCCGCCCCTCTCCCAAATCTAACTTCGCCATCACCTTCGCAACCCCTCAAAACCCCAGAAACAAAATCCCTCCACCCGTTTCCTCCAGAGGCGGGTGGTATCGTCACTCTTTTTCTCCCTCCATCTTCGTTTTCACCATTTCCCACACAGTTCACTTCTCCACTAACTCCTATCCTAACAATCTAACATCTAAACCAACTTCGCTATCCCACTCGCCCAGTCCCAAAACCATAGAATCGCACTTCCTCCTGCCCGATTTCATTGAGGCCCGGGCGAGATGGCCGATATCCACTCCTACCACAAGCACCCCCTACCATAGCCGCGCGCAGTCTCTCTCTTCCTACTAGCTCTTCTTCCACTCACCTGTCGGCAAAACTAACCTTACTACCAATTTCGCCCTGGCCAGAAGTGTTGAAATGACACCTTCCCTCATTCGTTTTAATCGAGGATCAAGGTGAACATCTATTCTTCCCGTCTTCCTCCTTCACATATCCT